CCAATATGCGTTTTTGCTGCCTGTTGCAGCGCTCCAGCGCTGCACGGCAAAAACGCATAAAAACTACCAAACTTAATTATGTTACCCAGTTTATTGCTCGAGTGATAATGAGAAAAAATGTTTTCTTAAAAATATTTGTTCAGAAAATAGCCACTAAAAAATGAGGAACATGAAACATTGATAAGGAGGAAGCTGGAGCAAATGGTAATGTGGATAGAGCTAAAGCGCGATTTAATTTAGCGAGAATAAAATTATTTCAAATACTTTCAGTAAGGGAAATTTTTAGCTGTTTCCGCATAAAATAAAACTTTCTTCATTAAATATCAGCGCTTTATGCATAAATTTCAGCAAACTATTCAGTGAAAATAGACTAAGTGAAACAACTGTGGGATGAGTGCTTTAAGAAAAAAAAGTATGATGTGTTTCTAGTAAAGGAAATGCTAATCATGCTCCCTCTTTTACTCCGCCAAGCTGGCTCTTGAACGTGCTGGTATCAATAAAATGAAGAAGTGATAGTAATAAAATGGGGTTTTCAGACAGCAATCATTTAGGGCAGCGAGGCAAACCATAAAATCGGTGCGACCACACATTTTACGACTAGTGTTCGAATGAACTGCTGAAAATTACACTTATGAAACCTAACAACTAACAGTGGTTTTTTTGGCGACGACAAATGAGCGTTTCGTTTTATCAGTTCCAATTGGACGAGAATATTTTAGAAGTGCGATAAGACGTGTTTTTGGCTTTAAGGATAACTCCAGCATCAGTATCACTTGAGCCCACTGCAATGATATTATAAAGTCAGCTTGACATTTCTAGTCACTGACGCAGTTGAGTAGCAGATAAGGATTAGTCTAAATGTCATGTGCAAGAAGACATGTTTGGATGCAATAACTGCCAGAAGTAAAGTCAAAAGCAGCAAGAAAGTCACTGCTACGGTCCACATAGTTTTCAAGGCGAGCGTGCTAAAATCTTGATGCTCAATTAAAAGGATAATTATTTCAAAATTTCTGTGCAAAGAATGTACAATAGAAGAAAGATCAATTATTAATACGCCTCCATACTTCAAAGACTACTACAGTTTCTCTAAAAAATTACTAATAAATATTAATAATTATAGTTTTTGTAAAAGCTGCGATTTTAAAATACTTTCTCAATGCCCGTAAAAACAGATATGTGAACAAAATACCTGTCGCTTCCATTCCATAGATGTTCTCGAAATGGTATCATAGGTTCGTGTCATCATAGCAATCAAAAGATTGAACTGCATGATGCTGACGAATAATTCAAATATGATAAACAAAAACTGAAAACTTTACTGAACCTTAAATTTAGACTTTTTTTGATGCGGTTTGATGAAAACCAGTTTTACAGCCTTTTAGCCAGCGAACCTCATTAGCAAAATTTCAACATTCTGATGGCAAGTTGCATCTTTTTGATTCAGTTATGCCCTCACCTTATCACATATTTCATTTCCAGCTAAAATTTACAAGATTTGAGCCTCTGTGACCGAACTTTAAAACATTTCAGTCAGCACTTGCACTCAGTAACCAAACTCATTTAAGCTTTTTACGCATGAATCAAATATATTACAATATGTATGAATGTATGCAACCAGGTTGCTCTATCCGAATTTTTTAGCAAGGAAACTATGAAGCTAGGATGGACAAGTTTTAGAAAAACAGTTAAAATAAAAAGATTGGAAATCTGGAATCAATTTTCATATTTCGTTAATCTCAGGCCGAAATTTTAGAACAAGTCTATGTTTCAAGATGTTGTGCCGCAGGCTATGATAAAGGCGAATAAACTTGAATCAGCTTTTGGACCTCATTCTATGATAACCAGCGACTTCTGACCCGTGATCGCAGTGGAATCATAACCCCAAAACTAGGCAGCCAATGAAACCGAAATTTTAAGAGCTCGA